CTTCATAAAAATCAGTATGGGAGTTTGAAGGGTCGTTCCACATCACATTACCTGGCTGACCTACTGAACATGTTCTATGAAGGTAGTAACAAATCCAAATCTGTGGGTAAACTTGTTCTCACAGATTTTAGTAAAGCCTTTGATTGTGTAGACCACACTGTTGCTATTCCAAAATTAATATCCCTTAACTGTAGGTCTGAAATAATCCCATGGATAATTAGCTTTATTTCTAACCGAACACAGAGAGTTCGCTACAAAGGTGTGCTTTCCGACAGTGTAAATCTCACATGTGGAGTGCCACAGGGTAAAAAACTGGGCCCTATTATTTTCCTTGCGTTAATTGATGATGCCCTTAACAATTCAACCTGTAACGTTTGGAAATATGTGGATGATTTAAGCATTTGAGAACTCTGTCACAACAATAGCAACCCAACAATCCACAATGATGTTCAGGATTTAATTGAATGGTCCGGAACGAATAAAATTAAACTAAACCCATCGAAATGCAAATCCATCAATTTCTGCTTTCAGAAAATCCCCATCTCATCAAGATTTAATTATGATAAATAATACTACCACAGAATTTGTACATGAAACTAAACTACTGGGTGTGTGGATTCAAGACGATATGAAATGAGGCGGAAATGTAAAATAATTAATAATTAATAAAAGGTAGCAGACATCTCCATATGTTGTGTAGGCTAAGAAAATTTGGCGTGCCCATGGAAGACCTAGTATCAATATATTGTTGTTACGTAAGACTTTCACTTGAATATGCCGTCCCTGTATGGCATTCAGGGTTAACTGTTGATCAATCTAGGTCCATAGAGCATGTGCAAAAAAGGGCATGTAAAATTATCTTAGCAAACGATTATATCAATTATGATGAATCGCTTGATATGCTTGATATTGAAAAGTTGAGTGAGAGGAGAAATAACACTTGTAAAAGGTTTGCTATTAACAGTTTAAACTCATTTCCTCATTGGTTTGTTGAAAACCAATCCAATCATAGTATGCATCTAAGAAAGAATCACAGGTTCCAACTACCAAAATATAGAGTCAACAGATATGCCAATAGTGCAATCCCATATCTTACTGCCATGTTGAATGATCTTTGAATGTATGCGTTTATCTCGACTTTCCGTTAGTGATGCCATATGATTACTTGTTCACTGATTATGCTGCAGATAACTATTTGTGCGATTCCCACTAATGGTATCTCCTTTTCCCCCTGCAGTATCTTGTCCTTTCTCCCCCCCCCCCCCACACCCGTTTATTTTAATCCAATATTTAATTAACTTTTCTGTGATGTGTTTTAACTCAATTTACGAATTTTATTAATTTTAATGCGACCTTTTAATTCAATTGTGGTTTTCTTCCCTGTCTTTTTACCGTATTTTGTTAACAGTTAACATTTATTGTGCGTTATTAATTATGAAATTGTAACTTTTAAATATTGTAACCACTTCTAAATTTAAAAAAAAAAAAACTTGAACTTTCTAGTTGGACTTGGGCTTCATAATCTTACTGGTCAAAAGGCACCCATTCAGATCCTTTTCTATCTTGGACACTGCATGGATTACAAAGTTGTCTGCAGTATTGAGACGGCAGAGGCATGAGCTGCTCAAGAACTCTCCAAAGGTGGTTGTTTAACAATCAGGCCAGTCAATGATGACATAGTTCTGACTGTATTCTGGGCGATAATTTCAATATAAACCTGGATACGCGTGACATAACAAATACTGTTGTCTTTCAAGAGAAACTGATACAAATACAGTTGGTTAAACAAACAGGAATGTCAGTGCCTAAAGATAAGCGCAGATCACTACCTGGGGATCACTCCTGCCAACCAGAAAAACCGAGAGGAGAGTTGATTCTAAAAAGGAACCTGCATCATTTTCTTTCAGCAACATGCGGCATGAAGTGGACAAAAACGAAGTGGCAAAAACTAATCCAACAATCCTTGTATTGAGTATCTTGAGAATCTTGGCATCGAGTGATCAGATGCTGCCTATGCTTTCAGGATGGCTAATGCAAATGAAAAACGGGGTTGCTGACCTAAAGGTACAGAAGACCGTTGAGACATTTCTGCCGCCTATAACAACATCGATTAACGGATTATTGATGCAGTCATTGCACTATCTCATTTCATTGACGATGCAGAGAGGGTCATTCTTGACACAAATACAGGAAAATACCAAAAGCTATTCAAATTAATTGAGATTGACTTAACACCAGCGCAGAAATCATCCTTTATTGGATTCCATGTTTTCACAGGTAATGATTACAACTCAGTTTTCTTCCGTAAGGGGAAACGCACATGCTGGAAGGTTCTTGAAGCAAAGGCAAAGTTTGTTGCCACTTTTTGTAAACTTGGAGCTTCAGATGTTCCATCACAAAAATTGTCTGAGGAGCTGGAAGAGTATGTTTCGTGTAAATTGAGCAAGGTATGAAATGTTTAATAGAAAGTTTACCAGATACAACAAGATCACGGAAATAGCATTGCTGCCACCATGTCAGCAGACTCTAAATCTTCACATCCTTAGAGCAAACTTTATCGCTAAAGAATGGAAATCAGCAAACATAAATGATTTTGTCAATGATAATAGCTTACACAACGGATGGAATGATGAAATGGAAACATAATGGATTGATACAGTGATGCCCGACGATGTCCAAGAACTATTCATAAATAATGAATTTGAAGGATTGCAGTGACATGAGTGATCCTGACGATTAAGGCACATCTCTGAAAGTAATGCAGTAACAATTACTTGGCAAGAACCACTACAAGCAAACCATACCTCACGCAATCACTAATTCAGAATCTGGTTAAATACATACCTTTTAAAACGTATATTTTACCTACAAATATGTTTTTTGGCGGCCAGATTGAAAAGCGCCCTCATGCGTTACCTCTTTTTATATGCTCGTTGATAACTATAGCTAGTTATAATTTACTCTCATCATTACATATACAAAATGTGCTCAAACATACCTCTTAAATGCTTATTTTCCCCATGCATATTATATTGGATTTTGGCGGCCATTTTGAAAAAAGCGCTCTCACGCAAAAGGTTTTAGGTTACAGGCCTTTTACCTCAAATATTCTGATTCCCCATAAAAAAAAAAACTGGTCTAGAAAAACCATATGAGATTTCTACCTCTCTAAGTGGCACCTATCTCAATTATAGCCTGATCTATCTGTAAGTAAATTACTTTTCATTCAAACATGAAATCTCGTATAAATTAGGCATTCTACGTATGAGTAAGGTTACACCCAAACACTATTTGTTACGACCCACGACATAACTATACAACTTACAAATTGCTTATTTTGTATATTTGTCTAATAGAGCAAGAAAACTTATCCCTAACATCTTTTGCATACCTGCACATAATACTTTGCATGTATGTACGCATAACATTATAAATGTAAATAATCCTCATAAGAGTGGTGTGAAATTACCAAATGTTTTTAAATTTAAGCATTCAGATGTACTAGAATACTTACCTAATAAGCTCTATAGTCGTGAGTTTGATGGCACATTGGAGAACATCAAAGATCCAGTTTACTCAGCTAGAGCTTAAAAGAACTTAGATTATTCATAGTAAAGAACCATAAAGATAATATTTGATAATAATGACTATTAACCAACTACTAAAATCAAAACAGGCAATTCATGAGAAGCACCTGAATCAGTGCTATTCATTAAAACGGGAATTGCGAAGAATGAAAAATGAGTGGTGGTCAAACTTCTCTAAAGATTTTCAGATATATATTCAATAAACCGTTATTGATTAAACACAACGTCGGCATTCATCTGCGAAAATGGAGAAATCACCATGTATTTATGCATGTTGATCAATCAATTATTGATCTGCCATTTGACACTCTTATCTCTTTAGTCTTCTTTCCGTAGACCTTCATTCCCTATCGTTTGCCTGCTTCATATAGACAAATCATCATGTTTTGTAGTCCTCTATTAGTATCGGAAAGCATTGCTGCGTCATCCTCTTATCTCACTATTTGTACGAACTTTCCAATTTCGATACCATTGCTGTTGTTCGTTTTTATTTCTACCAGCATAAATTATTAATTCAATGATAAATAAAGAGTAGACAGGATTCCTCCTTGTCGAACACCTCTAATTTCAGCTGTTTTAGATAGTTCTCAAGGTATTCCGTTATTCCATTCTGCTTTTTCATTTATTAAATTCATCACTCCTTTTTTATTTCATCTTCCAAGAATACGGTTACCTTCACACACATCCTCTTCATGTAGGCATTGATTTGGATTTTCTTCGATAGCCCAGCCTCATAAGCCTGAGATGTTCAATAGTCACCGGGGATGTAATACGCGGAAGTTCGGTTGGCTTGATGCATCATCTTTATGGAGCTGTTATGATTATTTATGTTTAGATATACCCTCACCTTGTGGTCTCTATACATGTATATGTCAGTATGCCGGCGTCCAACCGGAGGTACTACTACAAAATACACTTCTTCCAATTGCTTTAGGACATCGGCATACTTTATTCGTATAACCGGTGAAAACTATAATAAAATGGAATAAATTTTAAGAATAAGCATATGCCTGAGTCAGTCTGTATTGTGTTATCTAAGCCTATGCTCAGTGTGATTATTATATTAGCTATTATTCGTTTCTGAGCCTGTAATTCCTATGCATAAGTACTGCCTAAATATCATACAGATTCATAAAACTAGAACATAATATATGCTTACCACTATTGTCATCAAAGAACACTAAACATTAACTTAAAAACTAGAACATGGGAGTGCTTCCCCTTCATCATAGGTCTAGTCCATGCTTTCTTCCTCTCAATAAGGGTTGCCAAGGGGGCCTAAGGTTATATTTCAATAATAGAGGGGGTACTATCAAAATAACTAAACAAGAGAAATAATCGAACGCCTTTACAGTCAGTTAAAGATTTAAATGTCTGCTGGTGTCTGCTAACACCTTATTTGCCTGTTTTTAGACAAGCCAGCTGAAAACCCTGCAAAAGAGCCTGTGATCAAATTCAGCAAATGGGCATCAAATCAGACGTGTTCATGTCACTATGACGGTGGTTCTAATCAATGCGACTGCTGTGTAACTGGTGCTTATAAATGCGAGAAAGGAAATCACGCAGTATGCGTTAGCAATGCTGACGAATGCCCAGTTTCAGGTAAGTGTTTGGCTGTGAACTGAGTGTGATCCGTTTCTTTCATTTGCTCTGATGAAATTGGATAGGATATGTGACAATTTTCAAAAGTACTCCGATGGGAATAGGATAGTATATGGGACAGTTATCAAAATTGGTACATTTACAAATTTGAAATACAATAATAATGTTTTAATATAAATACACAGGTCTGGTATGCCCATAGAATATATTAAAACGACTACACCTTAAATCAATTAACTGTACTTGTAACTATGCTGACTATCCTTATTTCATAAATTATTTACCTTATATCCGATAGATTACTATGATCGAGGTTTCATCATCACCAGAAAAATGAACACGAATAGTGCTAACGTGATTTTTGCTTGTGGACCAGTTTATGGACGACTCTCGACGAAGGCTGTCCCAGCGTGTTACGTACAGAATGACCCACCAGATGGTCGCTGGAAAGGTAAGACATTGCACAATTGGATTTGTTTATGTATGGCAATATCAACAAGTTGATAAAAAAAAAATTATGAATGAATTTAGACTAAGATTATCAGATATTGCAAAACAAAAATCTTTTGAAAATATTATATATTACTATATTACCGTACTATATATAATATTACTCATATATTTATTTTATAAAAATAGAACTTAATGACCTAATAATATACAATAATATACAAAAAGGTTTTTTAAGTTTAGAAACTGAGAAGGGTAGATGAGTTAAAAAAAAAAAAAAAACAAGAACGTATGTATATGTAGAAACAACAACATTGAAGGCGAATATCCTTTTAACTTAATATGTCCTTGTTATAGTTCTCAGAAAACAATACATACCAGAATTTGTTTTATTATATTACATATTTTTTTTGTAAAAAAATATGAAACATGCATATCTAATTTAGTTACATGATTTTTTGTAACAAGTATTTTGTTAGCGAGTTAGGTTTTTTTTTATGGTTCTCATAAGGTTTGAGGTCTATGTAATATAAAAACAAATGTTCTAGTACGAATGGACCAAATGATTAGAAAAGAACAAATGACATAAAAATGTTGAGCATTCTCCAATTGGTAAGACGTAGTAGTAACTTACGTCTTACGTCTTAAAGTGCCTCTGCCACCTATTCTGACAATTTTTATAAACTACAGTATGTTTATATTTATAAATATATTATAAACACAAGTGTTGGTCATAAATTACGAATAAAATTGATTTTGTACGAAAAAAATGAGTTTGAAGTGTCAATTTTGAAAGACCTTAGAAACAAAGAGGTCACTCAATGACGTCATTGGTGACCGACTTTGCTAAACTTCATCCAAGCGCGAAATCAAAACAAACACTGCGACGGTGGCCTAGCGGAGGAAGAAAAGCCCGAACTTCTACCCTAGGCTGTTAGTATATTACATAGTTTCCCGAGTTTTACACAATATTACACATATAAATTGTGTTGTAGGGGGTTATAGGTGCACACGAAGTAAATATTTTACGTTACCTAAAGATAGTAAAAGACGTTGTTGAGTTAAATTTGTCAATTTTACAATTCAAATTTTCATGGGCCGGATGAGCACAAGTCAAAAGAATTCGTGTGCTCACTTCGTGGATGATCACTTCATGTGGGCTTGCAATGCAAACTAGCAGGAAAACGTATTTTTTATTCAGTCATTCATAGCGCAAGGACAAAGACCTGGATATGCCTAGGTAGATATAGGCCTTTGTGGAAACTTGAACCATGAAGGCGAAATTTTCGATCTCCCTGGCCTTCAGCATCTTTTACCGAAACCGCCGCAAATTCAAGATTGCTTTATCATCAACCAAATAATGGGATGTGATTTTTTTTTGCTTGCTGCGTAGGCCTAGGGCCCAGACAGAAGACAGTAAAAAAGGCAATTAAAACCAAAAAAACAAACAACCTACGCTAAATATGGTACTATAGGCCTAGTAGGCCTTGGCCTACGGACTTTTGCAAGATTTGTTTAAAAGATGTTCAGCCGTAAACAATGAGAGGTACCTGTATGTAAGTGATATTACTTACTGAATTACAGTCATAGACATAGATAGGCCCACCAGGCTAGACCTAGCCTAGGCCCTACTACTAATCAAAACAGGAAAAAAATGGCAGCACGTGTAAATTAACAACTGCAACTGGAAATTTGAATTAGGTCTTGGCCTATAGGCTAGAGGGGCCAGGGAAGTTAAGACCACCTCATCCCCATCATTGATTAGGGCAGCCTTATAGACTGTAGAAGACTCTTGGGATACAAACAAGTAAACAAGTAATGCGAGGATCCCGAAACCCGGTACATAGCATAGGCTACTTGTTGTTTTATTTGCCGTACTAGGCCTCAGGCCCTAGCCTGGATGGATTCTTTTTCTCACTGGACTTGATCGTCTCTGATTTTTATTAGACACAGCAAGATCTCTCAGAGCTAGGCCTAGTTTGCACTGCAAGCCCACATGAAGTGATCATCCACGAAGTGAGCACACGAATTCTTTTGACTTGTGCTCATCCGGCCCATGAAAATTTGAATTGTAAAATTGACAAATTTAACTCAACAACGTCTTTTACTATCTTTAGGTAACGTAAAATATTTACTTCGTGTGCACCTATATAACCCCCTACAACACAATTTACTGGAATATTGTGTAAAACTCGGGAAACTATGTAATATACTAACAGCCTAGGGTAGAAGTTCGGGCTTTTCTTCCTCCACTAGGCCACCGTCGCAGTGTTTGTTTTGATTTCGCGCTTGGATGAAGTTTGGCAAAGTCGGTCACCAATGACATCATTTCAAAATTGACACTTCAAACTCATTTTTTTCGTACAAAATCAATTTTATTCGTAATTTATGACCAACACTTGTGTTTATAATATATTTATAAATATAAACATGCTGTAGTTTATAAAAATTGTCAGAGGTTAATGCAGGCAACTGGGAGTGTAAGTAAAGTTTAAAAGAAAAAAATCAATATCACCTTCATCATCATCTCTATTGTTTTGATCACATTTTATCCTCATCATCATCATCATCATCAGTGGCGTAGCTAGAGGTCCAGGGGATGGGGCTTCGCCTTCCACCTCCCCCGCCCCAAAATCAACAGCTCGCGCTTCCCTGGAGCAAAAAAATTAAGCTCAAGCAGTTATCACCTGATATCACCTGATTTTGCGAGATAGCGCCCCTCACTTAATCATCGAATCCCCTAGGCCCAATTCACCTTCGCGCCCATCAGCCACAATCCATCCATTATCATCATCATCATAATAAAATTAATCTTCATCATTAATAAGGGGTTAAATGCGTGTCCTGGGATCAGTTCCTGTTCTCACGACCAAAAACAACTCCACTCTCTCTAGCCATCGTGTCATTCTGTAATTGTCGAGTTACTAACTGTCTCTTATACACATCTAGATGTGTATAAGAGACAGTTTTAGTACCATGTACATTAACTTTTTCGGAAAATTTTTGTTGTTTTTTTAAATTTTTTATGTCCTTTGTTGTTATGTGCTTTTGTATGTCCTTGAGCACGGGACTTCTTTTGTTTTTCGAAATAAAAAATACAAAAAACTTTGTAAAGAAAGGAAAAAAAACTTACGTCTTACTCGCCCGCCCGGATTATTTTCTCCTATAGAGTTAAGGCAGAAATTATAAAGGACGTTATTTTAGGTAAACTGATAAACATGAATATGCATGCTGACAGTTCATTGGCATATCGACCAGCTGGTATCATAGTGGCCATTCGTAGCGTAATTATGCTTTTTGGTATAATTTGGAACCCCGTAGCTTGTATTATTATGTAATTATGCTATGCATAATTTCATGAAAACGTAACATGACGTAGCATAGTTTGGAAATAATGTAAATTTCATTACATTTTAGAAACATAAATAGTGCCATTTCCGAGCATCTTAAGTACTGATTTACGCCGCGCCGTAGCTTTCACCCACGCACACACACACACTGCAGGTTACTCGAGAGTCGATACCAGTTGGTCGATGCACCACTGAACCGAACACCTCTTTCACGAGGGGAAGTCCATTATTCATGTTTATCAGTTTACCTAACTGACATAAAATAGCGCCCTCTATAATTTCTGCCTGTTCCAGCAGTAACAGCCGCTGGAAGAGCAATATCAATAATAATATTCATAACAGCAGAAACAACATTAACAGCAATACTAACGGTAGTAGCAGCAGCAGCGGCAGCGGCGGCGGCGGTGGTGGTGGTAGTAGTAGTAGTAGTAGTAGTAGTAGTAGTAGTAGTAGTAGTAGTAGTAGTAGTAGTAGTAGTAGTAGTGGTGGTAGTAGTAGTAGTAGCAGTAGTAGCAGTAGCAGTAGTAGTAGTAGTAGTATGGTAGTAGTAGTAGTAGTAGTATGGTAGTAGTAGTATTAGTAGCAGTAGTAGTAGTAGTAGTAGTAGTGGTAGTAGCAGTAGCAGCAGCAGCAGTAGCAGTAGCAGTAGCAGCAGTAGCAGAAGTAGTAGTAGCAGTAGCAGTAGTAGCAGTTTATTTTTATTATTATTTTTATTGTCATCATTATTCTTAATATTCTTATTATCTTTTTATTATTATTATTATTTTCATTATTATTATTGTTGTTATTATTATTATTATTATTATTATTATTGATGTTATTATTATTATTATCAGTTTCATTATTATTACTATTATTATTGTTGGTGTTATTGTTGCTGTTTTTTTAAAATATATATTTTATTAATAATGAAATTAAAACAACAGACTTGTTTTAGCTAGCCCTATGAATAAATATTTGAACATGTAGCCTATAAATATTTTTTTTGGTATTATTAGCCCTTCCAATGTACGTGCACAACGTGATTGGATCAGACGAAACCAATGGTGTACTCTATGGCATTCACAAGGACATGCGCAGCTATATGCGCAGCAAGGATCATGGTGCAACCTGGGAGGTCATCAGTAAAGCTATGTGGGATTCGATTAAGAGTCTATCTGGCATGAAAACCGTAGAGGTTAATGCAGGCAACTGGGAGTGTAAGTAAAGTTTAAAAGAAAAAAATCAATATCACCTTCATCATCATCTCTATTGTTTTGATCACATTTTATCCTCATCATCATCATCATCATCAGTGGCGTAGCTAGAGGTCCAGGGGATGGGGCTTCGCCTTCCACCTCCCCCGCCCCAAAATCAACAGCTCGCGCTTCCCTGGAGCAAAAAAATTAAGCTCAAGCAGTTATCACCTGATATCACCTGATTTTGCGAGATAGCGCCCCTCACTTAATCATCGAATCCCCTAGGCCCAATTCACCTTCGCGCCCATCAGCCACAATCCATCCATTATCATCATCATCATAATAAAATTAATCTTCATCATTAATAAGGGGTTAAATGCGTGTCCTGGGATCAGTTCCTGTTCTCACGACCAAAAACAACTCCACTCTCTCTAGCCATCGTGTCATTCTGTAATTGTCGAGTTACTAACTGTTGATTGCGAATGCTACATTTTTAAAATACAGTGACGGATCCCGGCGAAATAGAGTGGGCCCAGGGTGGGACTTTTACAGATGGAGTGTAAACCACTTCAGCCCCACCATGGTTGGGGGTTAGGTAAGACAATTTATGATCAGTGGCACCTCTAGTTGGCCGAAAATGGCACTCTCAGACTTCAATTTGAATATAATTTTCTTTTCTCTCCACATTTAAATTTTGAAAAAAATTGGGAGGGTGGGACAGATGGGCCCCTTGAATCTGCCACTGATATACTCATCATAACAAGTTTTCAATTCAATTTATCCTTGTAATCATGATCATGCCCACTTAAAATTAAAACAGTCACTCTATTATTCTCTTTGCATGTAGAGAGTACTTCTTGTACTTACTACTTGTAAAATCAATCAAGGGTTTTCATATTTTTACTCTTTTTGAATTTTACTTTTGTACAAGCAGTATTGCGACTACACTATTGTTAGTGGAAACACTACCGCCTAGGGAGATAGGAAGCACATAAAACATTAGCATTTTTATTTCACAAACATAAAGGTGATTTGCTTAATTTATCATTATCACGAGATTGCGTCAACGTAACATCGGAATTCGTAAACGTACGTTATCACTACTTAAATAAAGTCCAAATAGATAGACCTATCTGTGTCAAAGGCTGTATAATTATTATTTAATAACGCCTATATAAAATTCAATTGACTAAGTATAAATTTTTCAAATTAGGAAAAACAGGAATTTATGTATGCAGATAATATTAACACTAGCATATACGGGTCGTAATAATATACAAAATGAATAAATCGCTTATAGTATACAGTAAATTGTGCACTCTTAAGTTGTTATAATGTTGGCCTAATAGGTTTACACGCTTCCAATTGTAACAATGTACAGTACATTGTTTTAACAATACATGTAGGCTCTGATAACCGTTGCACCCCAGTGGCCGATCGAGGAATTTGAAATAGAGGTTCAAAGAGGGACTTTGGCATGTTGAGATTTTATACTGCCCCAGCCCCACCATGGTTAGGGCTGAAAATTTATGATTATGGCACCTCTAGATGGCCGGAAATGGCACTTTCAGACTCAAACTTAGAGTAGAATTTTCTTTTTTCTCAATATCTTTTATGTCCGCCACTGTACCCATAAAATCGATGGATGGTTACTGAAATGGTTACGAAATGTAAAAACAACTACGCACCGCACTTGGAACAGAGCACGAGTGAACAGAAAATTTATTACAGTCATTCGTAATTGTTGTTCTTTCCACTCGCTTTGAAAAGTGGGGTTTTAGCTATAGAAGATTGGTGAATAGTGGGGATGGGGAAAGAAACAATTGATATGATGTCCCCTTACTTATACACATCTAGATGTGGGGGGGGGGTGTCCCCCCTACTTTGGAAGGTACTTTGGAAAATGGAGGGGGTGGGGAACGTGTCCACTCTGTCCCCACCGATCGACGCCCATATGGTAGATTGTGGCTGGTTATTGCAACTTCCTTCAGTCCAGTTGTTTTGTGTCTGGCGCCACCAATGTGTGGAGTAGATTGTGCAGCGAACACTGGAATGACAAATTCGTTCTCACTGTGTAAAAAAAGGAAGAATACTGGTTTTAGTTTTAAAAAAATGTCATTATCAGCATAATCAAGAATGAGAATAACAATATCACCATCAAGATGAAGCTCTCACATAATACTTGTCATTTGTTTATCATAATCATAATAACCATCCTCATCACTAGTGGTGGCACCAGTGGGCCAGGAGGACATTTTCCCCCTCCCCCGTCCGACAGGCCGGGACCCCGACAAACGACTAAGTCGTCGGATCAAAAATAAAAAAAGAATATTAATTTACCTATCCAAAATAACCTTATTTTGATTGCCAATCCCTAAAATTGTGGTCTAAAAGCACATTTTGGAACATAATAAGCCATAAAACTCTCCCCGTGAACCCTATCAGGGATTTATTTTCGTCGGCCCCTTGGTTCGGCAAATTCCTAGCGCCACCACTGCGCATCACGACTGTCCTTGTTCAAATAATAATACAGTAATAATAATAATAATAATAATAATAATAATAATAATAATAATAATAATAATAATAATAACAACAACAATAACAACAACAATAATATGCCAACAAGGCCTTTAAGCGCTTCACATTATTACACTCATTGGATAAGGCACATGGAACACATACTCAGCTCCCTGGGGAGAATTCCATAATGTTGCAGCTGTAATCAGCGAATTTTGTGTTAAAGCCTACCAGGTACCCACTTGTATTCCTGGGTGGAGAGAGACAACCGAAGGTAAAGTGCCTGGCCAACGACACAAGCGAAGTGCACAGCGAGATCAAACTTCCGACCTCAAGGTCGAGAAGCCTAATCGCAACTTCTGCGTCGTCACCACTATCATCAACATCATATTATTATCGTTGTCGTCACCATCTTCATCATCGGCATTACAATCACTATCATCATCACAACCTTCGTCATCATCTTAATCATCATCATCACCATGATCACCATCACCAACATAATCATCGTTTTCGTAGTCATTGTTATCATCATCATAATCTTCATCATATCGTCGTCCTAATCATCTTCATCATCATTATCGTCGTCGTCCTGATTATCATCACTATTAATCATGATGATAAACACTAGGCCTATATTTATTCACACGTGCAAATATTATTTGAACTATTTGGTTAGGGGTACAGTTGTTATTATAATGTTTGAATTAATTAATACAATTTTATTGTAATTAACAATTTGTTACAATAACACCAACATTGTAACCTTGGGGCTTACTAACATTATTTATTAACATCCCACGTGATCTGCTCTATATACCAGGTTTCTATTTGAATCTTAAATCTTATAAAGCAGAACTCTTTATATAGTTTGAGCTTAGGACGCTGGGATCACCAGACAAGCAAAATATATAACAATCCAGCTACATTTCTTAACTTATTCGTATATTTTACCATTAAAGTTTTTAAGTTAGGCCTATTCCGATTAAATTATTAAGCCAGTTTAGCTTATTTTAATTTTATTTTTTTTATCCACAGACAATGACAGCGGTTTGCTGTATAACAACAACGTGAAAATGAAAAAGGATTGCTGCTAAATTTACAGCCTGACTCGATATACTGATACAGTTAGGCTATTTCTAATACAGCTTCGGCGGCCCGACACCAAACCTTAGTACAACTTCGGCGAATTTATGCAAGTTATGATTCCGTCCTTACAATACTTTTTGTCGAGAACGAGTTAGATCTCACAACATCGATAAATTGATACTTTGCTGTAGATTGTTATTACATTGATACATTTTACATTTGAAATACATTAGTATACATACTACAGACACACTCCACAATATCGGTGTGTTTTATATACGTTATTATGCACGAAGACGATGTTACATTTTTATTACACAACACTCTTTATTAGCATTCAATTAAACATATTTTAAACATTGTGAAATAATGTCAGTCTAATTAGGCTCATACAGTGATAAATGTGGTATTATAGGCCTATTATTATTATTATCTTTATTAGTATTATCATGATTATTATTATTATTAATATTATTGTTATTATCATTAATATTATTGTTGTTATTATTATTATTATTCATTCATTCCTTTATTTTAGACAAAAGTCCATCTTATAAACAAATAAAACAACAAAGCAACAAAACAAACAAAATGCCATGCCTTTAAAAAAAAGTTCTTTTTGTAATGCTCATGGAGCTGGGAGCAAAAAATTCCGGAAATTTCATGTGTCTAGGGTGGTATAGCCGCGACCGGCCCTCACTTTCGCCCCTCCCCCCCCACTTTCGGACATCCTTGGATCCGCCCCTGATATTTATTAATAGGAGTCTTTTTTTTGTGATCTAATTTCCGAATTGACCTGGAAACAATGTAGTTAAAGATTAATATATCAGCATTTTAGCGCATCCTTGCACGAGAAAAGCGTTCATATTGAGCCAACCGGTAATCTTTGGTTCTGAAGAGGTGTCCGAGGTTAATTGAGGATAACAGTTGATTTACCTTTTAGCAGCAATTACAAAATTGAAAGATTGATGTACACTTTAAACTCAAAAGGTTGGTGAAATAGTAGTCAATGCTTCTAATCCTACCTAGATCGTAGGCCTACATTATGAATTTACCGTGTATCTGACAAGTGACGTACGTCACATTTTACGAATGCGTATTTTCATTTAGAAAGCATTTATATTGAGATTTCTGTACTGTTTTGTCGCATTTATTAAATCTACTTAATGTAAATTAATATTTCATTAATATAGATTGTCTTCGTTGAGCTGATTTTTAAAATTGTCTATTCTGTATTATAAAGTAAGTTATTAAATTTAGATAAAAATATAATTGTATATTTCTCGAAAATTAACACAGATGCATATAGATATCGTTTCTATACTTTGCATATTCGCCCACCCATAAACGGCTTTCGCATTGTTAGGTTTTACTTGTAAATTAGCAAAATCTGATTTGATTAGGTCTGTGAAGGTAGTTAATAATCTAAACTATTTCATTGTTAAATTGATATTTTGAAACACTATCTTGAATTATGTGCCCAATTTCCCTGGCTATTATTTTGATCAATATGCTAAAGGACGTCACCGTAAATACACGATTAAATGATATTTCAAATCAAACCAAACCAAATTTCGCATACGTACACCATTTTGTTTGACGATTGACGGAAACTTATTTTATTATCCATTTGAGTGGATGTATCCAAATCCATTTTCATAAGTATGTTAAGCATTTCTAGACAACGAATAAGAACAAGGAGTTTATAAAATCACAATAGAACATTGAATTTAAAGAAGCTTTAATATATGAGCATCTGATCAAATTGAAGAGTGTTAACAAGCAAAGGAACATGAAAATAGCAATATATATTTTATAGTTTATTTTGTAAATTTAATAGACAACACGAAACATTACTTAGTATTATAAATTGAAAATGTACATTTAAGAGTCAAGTCAGTACCAATCTGGAAATGGGGATGTGTCAATACTGATACTGGTAATTTTATGCAAGCGTGTACTCAGAATTTATATTAAAAGCAAGTTGTTTACAGGGATGCAAATCGTGCCTAGCGATTATAGTAATAAGTAATTTATAATGTTATTATATTGAACTACAGCACGCTCTAAATAAAAGACGCATTTACATGTGAAAAATTTCAATGTTTTTGTTGTTGTTGCTGATCTTTCTATCTAGAACCATTCATTGAATCCAAAACCATGGGATTGTAGGGCAAGCATCCAACTACAAGCTCATTCGCTCACTCCTTCACTCGTTCGTTCGTTCGTTCATTCGTTGGCTCGTTCAAAATAATCAAAATCCTAGAAGTTTAATTTTTATTGTATTCTATTCTATTCAGGATTCATTAGTGTCTTATCAAAGGTGATAAGACATGGATTTGACATATTACATGACTTCGCACCTTTTCTATAGTTTAACATAATTTCTAAACTATTGGCAATTCATAATGTACTGTAATCCCACCATTAAGCCCTATCTTTGCCAGACATACCCGTGCTAATTTGCCGATATACCTCATAATATTGAGTGGAGTTGAATAGCTTAGGGGTTAAGATGCTTGCGCCTAATCCCAGGGTCAGTAGGACTAAAAACAATTCCTCTCCCAGGCCTCAATAAGAGATTTAGTTTATAAAGAATTGTTCGATTCTGTACGCAGTGGTCTAGGATTTGCCCGATGGGGCGGGGGATTTCCCCGACCAAAAAAGTGTGCGTGGTCGGGCGTCGTTCAAAGTCTCTCGAAAGTATTACACTGGGGCGAAGCCCACAACAAATTATGACAATTTAGGGGTTTGTAAAGGCTTATTTAATCGATTTTGGGTCTACAAATATGTAGAAAATACATTCCCCCGCCCCCGACGAATTGTGATTTTTTTTTCTCTCCGAGGAGGGGAGGGGTGGGCTTCCCCCGGTCTCCCCGCTGGCGCTACCCCTGCCTGTACGTGGCGCGTGTGCTTGCTGTTGGATGTGAAGGAAATTTAAAAAAAAATCATTTTCCTTCATATTCTTAGACCTACATCATTATAGCCCTTGAAGACAATCCGATATTGGTCCGAAATTATACTATCAGGTTGGCTAGCTATAAACCAACTTGATTCATATAGGCCTACATAAAGTTATTGCGTTTGTCACCGATTAATTATTATGATTGTGTTATACAGTGGAATTATTAAACATTATTTGACTTGGAGATTAAATGACACAGTGATTCCTTGGTCGAAAGTACCATGTAAGTGATAACCATATTTAGAAGAATGAATATTCATGTAATGTAATGTAACCTATTTATATAGCACTTTATATACCGAATTCTTAAAGCGTACAGGGTGGACTAGCTCGTACAGTAACGTGCTTATCCCTTAAGGGTCTATTCGTGTCTGAGCTACCTTCTACACCGGTTATATATTTTGTATTATTTCCCCCTTAACGTCGTTTTCCTAATTGTTCTCTACGTTTTCCATCGTCTAAGTTCTCCTTAAGGTAGGTTTTATTAACATAATGATAATGATGATGATGATGATAATAATAATAATAATAATAATAATAGTAATAGTAATAATAATAATAATAATAATAATAAAGATTTATAAAGCACA